GGAGGGAGGGAGGGAGAGTGCAAGGAATAGAGAGAACAGGCTCATCTCCAGATCCCTGCCTACGCTGCTCTGAATACTTCTCATGCATCTGCCTCATTACACCAATGCAGCAGGGCATCAGGAAGAGATGTTGCCTATGCAGCAGATCATCTTCTGTGTGAAAATACGATCAAGCTCAAAGTACCGATTCCACTGAATGTGCAATGCAGCTCATGTTAAGAGCTCAGAGGAGATTCACTGTGACCAACGGCTTTCCTGTTTGAATGCTGGGTGATATGTTGGAGCGAAATGAGTAACTGTAATTCTTTCAATGTTCCCCAAACAAGTACTTAACAGATTCCCTTCTTCAATACATTAAACCATTGCGTATTGAGTTTGCTGTGTGCAATTGATGGAACACTGCTCTTGTAGTGATTTCATTAAAGTAATTAGAGTAATGTGATTTTCAGATCAGTGAACTGGGCCACACACACACATTCCTCACAGTGAAGTCTTCTTTAAACATCAGGTATTGTCCAGTTACAACATGAACTTAGGCCAGAAAATATTTGAGGGCACAAGAAAATCCTTTACAGTATGTTGAAAAATAAAATGCAATATGTAAAACACCTCAGCAATATGCCTGACCTCAACATCCCACAAGCTTGAGGCATGTTGCTCTGTAGCTCAGCCTGACCTCTGACCTCCCTGTGTGCGTGTGGGGACACTTCTTTGTTTGAATCAATAACACAATAAGGTAGTCAGGAAAAGGATATAACCCAGATAGCTGCTGCTGCTGCTGCTGTGGTATGAATCTCTGTTCCGTAATGACACAGAGTCCATTTGTACATGACCTTGTTGATGATGCTCAGCATAAGAAGGTGATTCATTGACGGTGGAGGTTGGGCAGCAGCGTCAGAGTGAGTAAAGCTCTCACCATATGCCACATTTTTCTCTGCTTACACCCAGGCAGTCATCACAATGTCTATCTATACTCCTGCTGCGTCTGACACTGTGATGAGCTCTGACTGCTTGGGGAGTGCGTGCAGATGTGTTTGGATGTTTTGCATAGAAGCCAAATCTGAAGCAATATCATACCAATTGTTTTTGTGTTTTCATAAGAAGTGCTTTCGTTGGTTTGTTTGTGAGAATTCTTCCAAGCTCAGAAATCGCTGGTAAGAAAGGAATCAGACAAAAGCAATAAAAAAGGCATTACTAGTATTGTTTTTGGACTATCCTCTTGCAGTGGACTTGCCTGAGGTGATGTGCACACACACACACACACACACACACACACACACACACACACATTTACAGGCTCTCCCGTTGAGAGGCAGGAAGAGAGAGGGTGTTCCCAGGTAGCTGGAAGCTGCAGAGATACAGACTAAGATGAATCGATCCGCGGGTTCCACTCCTCCTGCAGTTGCTATAGCAACGCTCAGGTAGATCCACACACATCCACGTCAAAATAACGTCAATGCATTTCATTGAAAAATGAAGCGCTCTTGCCAAATATGGTAGTGAATGTGGACTAAGGAGAAAAAAAGCTGCCATCACTATGTACGCCACAGTTTCCAGATTGTTTTACTTTTCTATTCAATGGATTTGCAATATAATTTAAATATCTTCTGTGAAATGGGTGATGGGCAAAGTGGTTTGGCTTTTCACAATTAAGAACATTAATTGAAAATCTTTATCCTCAGTTCACATCTCAGCGGCATATGGTGTTGATGATATAGAAACATGCCACTGTGGGGGCAAATAAACACAGTATTTTCTTCTAATGGAGCATCTAAGAAACGTGGAATCTCTTACCCAGCATCCCACTTTCTCTCTTCCATTATACAGACAGTATCCCAGCTGATTTAAAGGACCCCTTCTACACTGACCAGTATGAGCAGGAGCACCTGAAGCCCCCCCTGGCCAGCCTCCTTCTGTCTGCAGACCTCTACTGCAGGGCGGGAAGCCTCGTGCTGAGCAGTGACGCTGACCACCCCCTGCTGGGCCACAATGCTGTCGTCCAGGTACTGGCTCAGCGGGGGCTCTACGTCACCGACCAGGAGAGACTGGTCACCGAGAGGGACCTTCGGAAGAGGCCTCTGCAAATGGTAAGAGAGATTTGTAAATCCTTTCTTTCATTTCAGGGTGCAGATGTCCCGAATAAACTCTAGGGCTGCACGATTTTGGGAAAAAATCAAATTGCGATTTTTCTGACAACTATTGCGATGCGATTTGCGATATTTGTTTTTAAGCGACCAAACGGAAGTTTATTGTAAAATGCGGCCATATCTCCGGCTAGGAAGGTCGTATCAACAGGCGCATTCACACCGCAGTACTTTTCCCACAAAGGTTCATGAGAACTTAGTTCATCGGAACTCTTTAGTTCTGATAAACTAAGTACAGATCGCGTTCACACCGGAATAAGTCCCTGGGGGTGGATTAGTCAAATGAAGCCGCTAACGTCACTTCTTCTTCTTCTGCTTTGGGTTTACTGGCAGGCCGCAAACAACTTCACGGCGTATACTGCCGCCCAAAATCCCTGGCCGAATGTCCCGGAGTTGGGGACTGGCTTCAGTAGACGCTGCTGGGTAGTCCCAGCGCTTCTACTGAAGCTTCCGAGGTAAATCGGCCAGAACGCCGAAAGTCGCCTCATCTCCACCGTCTCCATGTTTTATTTTTGTGTTTGCCATAAGTTAGTCTCTCTTTGCAGTTTCTGTGCTGGGCTAATTGCTAATGCTAATTAATGCTAATGCGGAGGATTAATAAAATGGTGGCTTTCACAACACTTTTTTTTGAGTTTACGGGCGTGGTTTGCCAATCCGCCCAGCCAATCAGAAATATAGCTCTTTTCTCACAAGAGAGCCGCATGAAGTCCCTGCTCTCTTAAGCAGAGGACGAAAAGGGTAAAAAGGGTTCTCATGAACTAATTTTAGTTCAGGCTCTTTTTGGTCTGAAACGCGTACATTTCGGAGACTATATATCGGAACTAAAGTGGGAAAAGTACTCCGGTGTGAACGCGGCTAATGTGCTCCCGCTCTAGGCATCCCCGCAGCCCGAAATGCTAGATCGAGTGAAAGCAACTAAACTTACATGAAACTTCCCGGTTGGTTGCCCTTAAAGTCAAGCCTTCAGTTTTTAAGGATTCAACGAGTCAAGCTTCAGTTTAAGATTCACCCTGTAATAGATGTAAAACATGTGATGGAGCATTACTAACCTGACTCAGATGGTTTCTTTCACCAAACCATCTAGGAAAGCTCCATTGGAAGCCATTTGGAAAAGGGCAGGCACTTTAAAAAATACTTGGCAGGTGATTGGATCAATCTGTCTATCACCTTCTATCATGGGCCACTTCTGATTGGTTAACATGGCTGGTACATGTGGAGCACAGCACTTCTGATTGGTGAGGATGACTGACACACAAGAACAAAAAAAAAATCAAAAGAAAATCGCAGGCTTTGCGATTTGATAATCGCATCATTTCAAATTGCGATTTCAATTTAAAATCAATTAATTGTTCAGCCCTAGGTTCCTGCTTTGTGAGCATCGAGTGTTATGTCACAGTGAGCATCACAGCTAGGAACGTATCTGTCTTTTTAAAAATTCCCTTTAGTATCATTTGAAACCAGCCTTGTACCATACATACATACTTTCTGTTCCCTCAGTTCATGAGGCATACTTAAATAGATACATTGTTTATTAGACACATGACCAATGCCAGTGGAATTTTTTATTCTATGCAGCACAAACGCATACAATGCCAACAGAGGAACCTCCTGGAAATGCATATGAAGAGGAGGCAAGGGAGAGGAGTTCAGAGTCCTGAACGCTTAGGGAAATAAGGCTGTTTTTAAAGTGTTACATATTGGTGACCTATAACAGTCATCTGAGGTCAGGAGCTGAGAGGTGCAGGCTGTGAGGGGTGGGAGATTCTCTACTTTACAGTTCTGAGTATGTAGAGATTTAGCTGAAGGGAGCTAGCCTATTATGTTGGGTGCCTTGTTAACTATCCTCTGTAGTTGTTTGTGTTTCACTGCCTGTGATCAATCCAGTGATTCAGCCAGCGTCATTTATATAAATGTATCCAACTTCAGTGTTTTCTGACGTGAGGGTGCCTCTCATTTTGTATTTGCCAGACAGCAGATAGGGGGAATCTCTTTCGTGTACATTTAAAAATCACATTGGTCTGTCTTTTGAGCATTTAAAGTATCAAACAAAGCATTGCTGATTGGTGGAGTTGTTATTCACTTTCTGAGCCTGTCTGGGGAATGAAACAAACTGACCCCAAGGCTCCCACTGCCCTGTGTGTATTTGTCATATCTCAGTGTCTTTGTAGCTCATCTCTATCGCTCATCCTACTGAGCGAGAGTGAGGGATCCTCATTATTTGGGGCCATTTCTCAATAGGAGGCTTTAATGCTTCAGTGAATGGCAATTGAGAAACGATTAGCACACAGTTTGCCTGCAGTCTGTTTGTAGAGTCTTGCTGCTTTTAATTTCCTTTCTATGCTAATTCAAAAGTTATTTAAGCTTAGTTTGAGTGTACATTTCAAGCACTTTGTTTAGTGGAGACAACAAAGTATTTCTGTATTTAGCATTTGTTAGTGTCGTTCTACTTGATCCTAATATTCTGATATTTCCCCTTATCCACCGCCCTCACATAATTCACCCTTTTTCTCCCCTTTAGCTTGTCTCCCTTTTCCACCCATACTGCCATTCAACCTATACAAAATCCCCAGATTCCTTCTTATATCCCATTCTTCTCACATTTCATTCCTTTATTCCCACATCTCCCCCAAGCTTTGAATGTAACTTGTTGGTCTTTTTGTATGGTTTCCTAGCCTTATACCATTTTATTTTTTTATAAAACAAAAATAAGTTATATACTAGTAGCATACGACAAACATGAGCGCCATTTAGTATTTGCTTATTAGGAAGAGAATACAGACTTGAAACTGTTCATGTGGATTACCTGCTGCACATAAGGCACCTCAGGTGGGGGATCATCTATTATTTAAAAACTGACTAAGGGTTGCCAAGGTGACCAGAACCTCTGTGAGGTTGGGGGAAATCTGCAAGAAGAGACATGAAGAGTTAGAGTGTTGTTGAATAGGATCAGTGTTTATTCTTCTGCAACAGACTGAACGAGTACCTGCAGCTCGGACTGTGAGCTTCTCTGGATAATTAGTGCTGCAGCGATGAATAAATGCTGCTTCGTGATATTAAATGCTGCTTCATGGTATTTTTAGCTGAGCATTTTTTTTGTAACTCAGCAGTTTGCATAAGGTATAATAATTGTCAGACTAAGCAACTTCAGTGGAGGCTTAGTAGGTCACTCAGAGTTAGATGCTGCTGATGTCAGACACATGTCATAACTAAGAGCCTTCAGCCACTCTGCAACCCGTCTCTGGAACTCTCTC